GCTCACCCTTGAGTCCTGTTTGAGAAACCGACCCCCATCAATCCTGCTACTCTTCTGCTGGATGATGCAGGTTTTCACCCATGACTGTCAAGAGACAATGAAACCAGGTAGGTGGGAGGTACAGTGGTGACTTGAACCAAAACAATCTGGGCCCAAGGCAGGTACCTCAGACCAGAGAGCAGAACTGATTGATCTGACCCAGGCTTTCAAATGTGGAAAAGGAAAGTCCACCACCATTTACACAGACCATCAGTATGCTATCACTACCTGGCATGTCCATGGTATGACCTATAGAGAAAGAGGGCTTCTCGATGCTGGGGAAAAGGACATTAAAAAGTCCTGACCCAGGTTCTGCTGACTCACTGTGGGAGACCTTGCGTTGGAGGAGGTAGGAATGGGAAGTGGGTTGGGGAGGAAGGCTGGGAGGTGGGAGGAGGGAAGAGAGGGGGATCTGTGGTTGGTATGTAAAATGAATAGAAAATTTCTTTCTTTTTTCTTTTTTTTTTTTTTAAGATTTATTTATTTATTATGTATATAGCATGTATGACAAGAAGAGGGCACCAGACCTTATTACAGATGGTTGTGAGCCACCATGTGGTTGCTGGGAATTGAACTCAGGACCTCTGGAAGAGCAGTCGGTGCTCTTAACCTCTAAGCCATTTCTCCAGCCCCCGAAAATTTCTTAATAATAATTAAAAAATCATAGTTGAAGGTACTTTAAAAGAATAAAACATCACCTTGATCCCCCACCCACCCAAAAAAAATTTGGCCCTCCTAGAGAGTGTTTGGCTTCCCCTGCAAATTGCTGTCTTCCACTGCTGGGCTGCTGACCTGACTACCTACAGAAAATGGCCCTAAGACCCTTGGGGCCTATTGATAGTCTAATGACGTGCCATGCCCTAGTACTACCTGAATCTATGGTAAGGAGAAACACACAGTTAAAACCCACTGGTTGATGGAAGACACCAGAGGAAAGATCATTCTCCCAGAAACAGCTAGCAGGACTCTGGTAACCAACTTTCACCAGGCTGCTCATCTGGGGTCCACATAACTTTCTGAGTTGTTCAGACCAAGGCATATTATACCTACAATGGACAGCCTAGCATGGGGTATCTCAGACAAATGCCAGGTTTGTGCTCAAGCGAATCCAAAACAAGAGAGCCCTTACCCAGGAAGGGGTCCAAATGAGGGACCAACACACCAGCAAATTCTAGGAAAACTGACTTCGCCCAGATCTGGCCTGGTGGGGGAGGATGAAAGTTACTTGCTAGTTTTTATAGATACCTTTTCTTGTGGGCAGAAGGGTTCCCCGTCCAGACTGGAACTGCTCAGATAGTACCTAACAAGCTCCTCCAGGAACTGGTCCCTGATTTGGCTTCCTCCCTAGCAATGTATCAATTAAAAGCTAAAGCTTTAGACATAGATTGCAAACTTCATTGTGCATATAAATTTCAGAGTTCTGACCAGGTAAAAAGAATAAACACGGCATCAAAAGAAACTCTAACAATACCCTGATCACAGCACAGCAAAAGATGGATACGTTTCCTTTGCTTTGCTTCAATCCGCTGCACCTCATTTAGGGAGGGATTTGCTCCTACGAGATGAAGTTTGAAAGACCTCCCCGACTGCTTCCCAGGCTCAGAGACCTGCAGTTGTCAGAACTCTCTAACTGTTCCTTTCTCAAGACAGTACAGACCCCCAGTTCCCCATACAGGCTCTTCAGGACTATCTGAGAGAGCTGGCTGACCTCTGAGTCCACCACGTTTTCCCTTGTTTGAGTCCAGTGACATCATCTGGGTCAAGTGAGTAGCCAAAGAGGCACTGGAACTAACCTGGAAAGGACCCTGTAAGGTGGTTCTCTTCACTCCTAAGGCAGTGGTGGTAGCTGGCATTACATCATGGATCCACCACACTCAGGTCAAGAAAGTGAAAGCCACAGACATTGCTACCAAATGACCTGTCTCCAGACTATGGAGCCATTGAATTTAAGGTTTTATTGGGCTCCAGGCACTTCCACTCTCTGCCCTTCTACATACTCTTGAGTCTTGTGTTTTGCACTATGGGTATGAATACAGGGTCAAGGTCCAACCCCCACCGCCCTCAGACCTGGATTGGACTCAATTTGACTCATTCACATGGGGAATGTGACAGGCCGCAGACCATAGCACAGCTGACTCCGTGATGAAAGTACCATTCAGGCTGTAGAACTCAGCACGTAGACAGTACTACCTGCCAAAACTAAACCAAGAACAAACCCATCAAAGTCCATAGATCTCCGAAATTCTCTGAATGTATTAATCTTGCATTTTGGATTCTGTACTTCTGCTTCTGACTAGTGGTTCTTGTTCACTGAAGTATGTCAATCCAGGCATAGTTTTTGTGTTTAAAAGCTCACTCAGAGAAAGGCTTGGGGCTATGCTGGGATCCTGAACACCCAGTGGAGTCACCGGTGGGCTAATACAGGCTCTCTATTGGCTTACACCCAAGTCAGAGCAGTCTTCTCTGGTGGATACCCCACAACGTAAGTAAGTAGATAGTATGATTGTTTTTTATTTTATTTATTTATTTATTTATTTATTTATTTATTTATTTATTTATTTATTTATTTATTTATTTATTATGTATACAGTGTTCTGCATGCATGTGTTCTTGCAGGCCAGAAGAGGGCACCAGATCTCATTACAGGTGGTTGTGAGCCACCGTGTGGTTGCTGGGAATTGAATTCAGGACCTCCGGAAGAGCAGCCAGTGCTCTTAACCACTGAGTCATCTCTCCAGCCCTGTTTTTTATTTTTTTGAGAAAGGATCTCATTTATCTCAGGCAGGTCTTGAACTGTGTAGCCAATACTGACCTTACTTTCTGTTCCTCCTGCTTCCATCCCGGGAGTATTATGATTACAGGTATGTTCCATCTGTTTATGCAGTGCTAATAGTTGAACCCAGGGCACTGTATAAGTTTGGAAAGCACTCTGCCAACTGAGTTACATCAAGAGCCCTGTTCTCACTTTTGTTTTGTTTTGTTTTTTAAATACATGGCAAACCAAGGAAGCACAGAATTATTATTCACCTGTCTATGTCACTAGCTTTGAATATTCAGAACTCACTGCTAAACTCATCATCCATTTCTTAACAGGAAGTGTACCAGTCAGGAATTCAAAAGTGAGTGAGGAAGGGGAGAAAGGCAGTGAGAACTGGGATTTCTTTTGGACAGGAGTCAAACCTAAATGGGAGTGAGCAGGATGCTTAGAATAGTGATGGCAAATCTGAATGTGGGAGTCTAGCCTCAGGCTGGCTCTTCGAACTTTGTAGATGAAACTGTGAGTGGAAAAGTGGGGTATCCAAATTCAAGGGACCGTAGGGATCGAGGAATTGTGGAGAGAGAGGTGGGCAGACATTAAGGAGCCCCTGTATAATGAAGCAGGTGAGAGGTACAGATGACGGCTTGCTATGGTGGGTCAACCCCGTCTCTGGCTCTGCTTACTACCTCAGATTTCCTAACTAACCAGTTCCCTCTCCCCACTATCACTTTATACCGTTGAGACTACACTTTGGCTATATCAAGTTAAACATAAATTATTTTGGCCTTCTCAGTCAATAGACATCTGGTCCTATGTTGGGTAGGCAGGCTGCCTCTGGGTAACACCTAAGTCCTTTAAGTTCAATCCAGGCAACAGAAACTCACTCTGGACATTTTGAGCAAGAAAAAAAAAAAAACTGCAGGAAATATTTCTGAAAAGATTTTCCAGGAACTGATAACAGTAACTTCATTTGGAGCAGAGCTGGATTGGGAAGGGGGATTGGCTGAGGGAGAGAGGGCTCTGCAGGGCGGGGAGAGGGTTGGGGGGCTGGCTTTGGTTTCCAGGTGTCCACAGAGGACGGGGCATGAGCAGACGCAGGCTTAGGACCAGTCTTCTTCCAGGCTGCTGAGCGCTGCCCAGTCCCGGCCAAGAGCCTGAGCACCATTGCTGCTGTTGAATCCTGGGAAAGCAGGCTTGGGCTCCCATCTCCCTCAGCGGGCTCCTCCCCATGTCCTTATCTGTGCCATGCTGTAAGACAGCTCCTGAGACGGACGACTCGTAAGAAAACACACGTCATTTCTTCCCATTCCTGAAGCCTCTCCCTGGGGGTGCCCTGACATCACACCCCTTCTTCCTCCTCTCCACAGTCCTCCCTCTGCCTCTTTGGCTCCTCTCCTCTCCGGTCCTCCCCGTTTCCTCCCCAGCGCCCTCTTGTCTCTCTCCTGGTACTACTCTCCTTCCTTCCTCTCCCCCTGTTTCCCGGCGCTATTCCTCGTCTCCCCTTCTTCTCTCTCTCTCCTCCGTCTGCTCCACGATCTTCCACCGGCAAGCGGGCCAGAAACGCAGAAGTAACGCCAGCACTCCCACGGAGGGCGGCGGCGTCGGGACCAGCACCGCCCTGCGCGTGCGCGCCAAAGAGGCCGGGCGGGCCGCCGCGAGCCTCGCCGGGGAGGCGGAGCCTGGCCGGCGGGGGGCGTGGCCCGGCCGGCGGGGGCCTGACGCGCGTGGGCGTGGCCCGTCAACGTCAGTTCTCGTGAGAGCGGCGACTGGTGACGGGGCGGAGGGCGGGCGCGTCGGGACGGTGCGCGGGTGTGTTTGAATCTGGTCCGAGCGCGGGAAACCATGGGTCCCCGGTGAGGTGAGCGCTGCGCCGTGTCCCGGGTGGGCTACGGGGAGGCCCGGGCGGCGGGCGGCCGCGGCGGGGCGACGCAGCCCGGCCGGGTCCCCTGTCCGCGGCCGTCACCCGTCCCGGGCGCCTGTGGAGTGAGAGAGGGGGTGCGGGAGGGCAGAGCGGGACCCGGGCGGGCTGCGGAGCGGGACCCGGGCGGGCTGCGGAGCGGGACCCGGGCGGGCTGCGGGAGGGCAGAGCAGGACCCTGGCGGGCTGCGGAGCGGGACCCGGGACCAGAACCGGGGTCCCACCGGGGAGCTGCTCAGCCTTGAACCCCGGCTGACCGGGGAGGAGCTCAGACAGGGACCTGGGTGCTGAGGCGGGAGGACCCCGGAAGAGGGCACAGCAGACCAGGACCTGAGGGTCACTGCCGAGGACCCTGGGCTTGTGCTTGGGATGACGTAGGTGGGCCCCGAACCTACACCTCGGACTGATCTGGGGAGACTCTTGGCTCTGAACTCATAATGAAAGAGACAAGAAGTGGAGGAGCATTTTGTGAGTCTAGCGGCTGTAGACGTTATTCGGCACGGCTAAGTTGCCAAAGGCATGCGCTGAAGTAAACAAGAACAGTAACCAGAATTAGGAGAGTGTCGATACGGGTCCTCTTGCCTTTCCTTTCCATTTTATCCATCAGAAAAAAAGTGTTGGTTCACAATTCGGCCATTTGAACTGGGGGGTGAAGTGGCTGTATTTAAGATTTACTTATGTGAGGAATTGTCACATTGAGGTTATTTTCTACTTTTAGTCAATTTACAATAGGAATGTATATTTACTGTGATTCACTGTCCCCATAATTACTGCCAGTAATTTTCCATATTCCTGTATTGTAAAGATATAGGAGATTTTTAAGTTTTAAGGTGGGAGGCCGTGTTGCAAATATGCTGTAACTGTCGTTAAGTTTATGTGTTTTGCGTAGACCATCCTAGCACCAGGTGTAATGGTAAATAGGATTTCCTGGGAGATCTCAGGCAGGAAGGAGAATGAACAAGGTCCCTTGAGCTCTCGTTATCCTGTAGGGGTGGAGAGGAGGATGCTGAGGGGAGGCACAAATACACCCTCTAACAAGCTCCCAGGTGACCTCAGGGCTGCTGTTGTGATTTTCATTCCAAGTAACAGTCTCTCACTTGAAAAACAAGGGAGGATTTGTTGGGTGGGATCTTGTTGGAGGAAAGGCACTTTAGAAGAGGAGCCTGAAGAATTCAGCTGTGGGGATCAGCTTGAACCAGTTGTATGAGTCAGTTCTTGCCAGCATTTGAAGAGAAAGTAAGATTCCCGAGGCGGTTCCTTAGCTGGTAGTTTCATTCACGGTTGTAAGTAAATATTTTTTTCAGATTATTACAATTTTGTGCCAGAATGTTAGAAACTGTCTTCCAGAAGTGGTATAAAAATGTCTCACTCTTCTTGAATGCTCCTATCAAATTAAATCTTATGGGATAATTTGCACTTTTAAGTTCTGGTCTGATTGTATTTCCCACCAGGGTTGTAAAACAGGCTCCTTTAGAACAGTTTCATCTGTCATGGAAAAACGGGAGACATTTGTCCAAGCGGTTTCTAAGGAACTGGTTGAAGAGTTTCTGCAGTTTGTTCAACTTGACGTAAGTTGTGTGATTTACTTTTACTATAGTTTTGACTCTGGATATAAATAATATTCTAAAATCATGTCCCCAAGTGAAATACAGTTCTCTCAGTGAGTTCTTAGGGGGTGAATATTTATTTTTAAAAAGATAAGTAAATTCTCTAGAATTAAATGGACCCACTTTTACGCTGAGGTAAAAAGTAGAAGATAAACAGGAGTGAACCAAAGAGGTCATTGGACTGAAGGGATCCCTAAGGACTGGAGAAGGCAGACTGTGTTTTAACCTGAAGAGGGCTGGCAGGGCCACAGTGCAGTGATAGATGCAAGGAGGAAAGGCAGCCAAGGTGGGACGCTGTAAAACACCATGACCAAAAGCAATGTGTAAAAGAGCTTATTTTTGGCGTATGCTTCCAGAGGGGTAAGAGTCCATCATGGTGGGGAGGTGTGCCAGCGGCAGGAAGCTGAGCGCTCACATCCTCAGCTGCAAGCTTGTGCCGAGGAAAGGAGAGGTGGGGTCAGAGCATCTATGAAATGTCGAATGATCCTAGTGATCTGTTTCCTCCATCAAGGCTCTGTCGCTTGAACCTCCCCAACAGTGCCACCGACTGGAACCAAATGTTTAGATACCCAAGCCTATAGGGAGGTTCAGAGTTGATCCAGTAGGTGGAGAGCAGCCAGCATGTAGACAGGAGAGGAACCAAACAGAGGAGGGGAAACCAGGACCGAAGACAATAAGAAGAGGGAAGAAAGATTTGTCTCTGGGAACACATGTCTGCCTGCATGTGCACAGAGCAGCTTGAGGGACCAAGCCAGGGACTGGAGAGTGTAATGCTGCTTAACACTGGTACTAGATTTGCTGTGGAACCATCATTTGGTTGGATATAATGGTGAGCAACCAGCCTAGGTGTGGGAAAAAGATGACTGTCTGTAGGGTATGTCCAGGGTGATGGCCATGGGACAGATTGACAGCATATCTGAAGGTCAGAGAAGTCTGGGTGCCATGAGCTATATCGGTGGGAGCTCTCTTCTGGGAGGGTATGGTGTAGGGTATAGGAGCAGAGGGGGGACCAGAGTGCAGCCGTACACTAGTGCTGTGATAGCTGGGCCTTTGTGCTGGGAGCCTTGCGCCAGCCTGACCTATCCTGATTAAGGTTGTGCAGTGAGCCGGGCAGCAGTGGCACACGCCTTTAATCCCAGCACTCAGGAGCCAGAGCCAGGCAGATCTCTGCATTCGAGGCCAGTCTGGTCTACAGAGCGAGATCCAGGACAGGCACCAAAACTACACAGAGAAACCCTGTTTCAAAAAAACCAACCAACCAACCAAACAAACAAACAAACAAACAAACAAACAAAAATAAATAAATTCATGTGGTTGTGTTAGAATTGTGCCTTACTTGTTTTCATCAAATTGAGTGTTACTAAATGCCAATTTCTGTAATGGCAGTTTTCAGTAGTTTAACCTGATAGGAGCTAAGGAAAAGATGTATATCAGTTTGAGGCCTCTTGGTTGGGTCTTGCCATCTGAGTGAATCACTGTGTTCTGACATGTGCATTACTAACAACCACTACCTTGCAATATTGATGATAAAAACCAGAATGTTTGTACACTAGCAGTTATAGCACCCAGAACACTGAGGCCGAAGAACCATGAATTGAGGCTTGTTGGGCTACATAATGGGTTCAAGGTCAGGCTGGGCTACAAAGAAAGACTGTCTCAAATAACCTACAGAGCTTATTGGGGAAATAGGACTGGAGGCACAATACTAACATAGCTTGCCTGTGACACATTAAAGATAGGAATAATAAACATAGTAACAGGTTAAGTCACTAGCAAACACAAATGCTAAAGGAGTATGATGCTTTCCTTTGAGAAAGATTGGGAGTTTATAGTTAGAAGTAAATGGCCAGCTTGCACAGAACCTGCCGTTCTTGTGTGGGAAGGGAAAAACCAAGAGAGCAGAAACGAGAAGAAAAAGACAAGCTAGCTTCAGACAGGTAGAGCATTAGTGCTTAGAGTGCAGTGTAGTGGGTGTAGGGAGCTGGGGGCTGTGATCCCATGGAGGGGTGCAGCTAATGATTATATTTTTAAGAAAGTATCTTTGTTTTTGAAAAGTGCACCCCTACAGAGTCACATGCCTATAACTGCCTTGAATGGTTCCAAAACACAGAATGATTCTAGGATAAAGAATACAGCAATTGGTAACCACTAGTACATTTGGAATTCTTGTGTAGGGTTGTACTTGTGTGTATGTCCATTTTACATGGGGTACACCTGTGGAGACCAGACGGCGGTCTCGGGTAGGTCTCAGGTGTCCCATTAGTCTGGAACTTGGCCATGTAAGCTCTTGTAGGTAGCCCAAGAACTTCCAGAGGTCCTCTTCTCTTGTCACCTCAAACATCAGGAAGTACAGTCAGGCTGCCGTGCCCAGCTTTTTAGGTGAGTTCATGGGATCCACACTCTGGTCTTCACAGGCACTTAACCAGCTGAGCTGTCTCCCCAGCACTTTCTTGAAACTTTTATTTAAACTTGCGATGCATTCTGGTGTTTTTCACATGAGTTTTTAGTTTTTCCCCCTACTTCGTCTCCCTGTCCCCCTGCTCCCCTGCTCCCCTCCCGTGTGCTTCCACCCTCAGCATCTTCCTTTCTGCTTGCATGTCACATGGGTACGTCTGTGGTGCTCTCTCTTGCCCCCAGCACCACTCTCTGCCCTTCACGGTCTTTTATGTAGTTTCACGGCCTGCACCGGCTTTCACACCCACTTATATATATAATACATATTAGCATTAAAAGTTAGAATTTGCGTATGAGAGAGAACAGGCAATTTGTGATGAGTCTGGGCCACCTTTGTTAATGCAGTACTCTGTAGATGCATCAGTTTTCCTTCACACTTCAGTTTTCTGTGCAACTGAATACAATTCTATTGTATATAACTTTGTTAAGATCCTTAAGACATGGCACTTTAACCATTACTTTCAGTACATATTTATGTTTCAGCAGTTGTCACAGTAATGCTCTTATAGTCATATTTTCCTGATCCAGGATCCAGCTCGGTGTCAGACTCTCCCTGTAGCTGTCACATCTCTTAAATGCTCTTTAATCCAGGATTCTAGGCAGAATCTTTGCCTTCCTATGCTTGCCACAGCACTGAAGTTTGAAGGAGTTGGTGGGTCTTTTTTATTCTTTTCTTATTAGCCAATCCCATCAGATCTAGTGTCTCCTTTGGCAGGAGCTGTTAGCAGTGTCGGCCTCTCAGGACAGCACTGCTATTTGGGGGTCAGTGGGTGGATGAGTAAGTATGTGTTCACAGTCTGTAATAGAAGCTTCCTGCTTTCCCTTTGTAACCATGGGCAATTTGAGGAAGCCCGTAACTGTAGATGACCTGCTTCTCAGCACACTTCTCTTTGTTTTAGTATCTGTGGATACTTCTTACCAGAGTCTGTTACTATGGTGGCCATAAAATTGTCATTTGTAAACTCTGTATTTCTTTAGTATTTATTCATTGGTGCTTTGTAGCATGTCAGTGCTATTAATGAATGAATGATTTATAATTTATTAACTTATCGTATAGTCTCATTGATGCTAATTTTATTCTGTAGGCTATAATCTATTGTTGTTACTGTACTTGTACTTGGATTGCCCCAGAGCAGCTGCTGGAAAGGCCTCTTACTGGGTTTTGTACCTTTTGACAACGCCTGTTCTTACTGTGCAGAGAGATGTGCACAGCCTGCCCAAGCGAGAAGAGAGTCTAGCAAGCCCGAGGTCCCGGGGGACTCCCTGGCTCAGCAGAGACTGCAGTCTAGGGCTGAGGAGCAGGCGGGCGATGTGGACGGTCTGTTTGGAGCACAAGGAACTGGAAGGAAGGGAATCGGAGCCGCTGGTTGTTGCTGCTCCTGTTCTGTCGTTTGCCTCCAGCATCTTCTGTACCTGATGACAGGCCTGGGGAGGGTGTGGACATATTAATTGATTTTAGGGACTTTAAGTGGGTGAAGTTCTAAACTTTAAAGATCAGGTTCTAAGGAAGAAGAGGTGGAGGTGAGATTTGATGCTTTCTGCTTGGTAATTCTCTTCTTTTTCCTTATTAGAAAAGGATTTGAAAACTAACCAAATGCTTAAACATGTAACTAATTTAGTACTTAAACTTTTCTATTAATACAATTATAAGAAGAATACAACTAATTTTTCATATTTTGTGTTTTCTAAAATTCTTTTTGCAGAAAGATTCTTCTGATCCTTTCAGCTTGAGTGAGTTACTCGATGAATTATCAAGGAAACAGAAAGAAGAATTATGGCAAAGGCTGAAGGACTTACTGACAGAAACGCTGTTAGGAAGCCCTGTGGATGGGTGGCAGACAGTGGAAGACCAGGGTGAAGATGGAATGGAATCCGAACACAGTCCAAAGATGGTATTTGACTTTCAGAAATAAAAAACTTCCTCTTTACTGTGCTAAGAAAAGATTTAGTTGAACTTTCTTCTTGAAAGAGTCTCATTTTCAGTCCTGGCCAGCCTGAAACTCACATGCATACCCAGCTGGCCTTGAACTCAGAGCTCACCTGCTTCAGCCTCCTCAGTGCTGGAATGAAAGGCATGTGTTCATCATGCCCGGCTTGAATAATTGAACATTTAGGTTAAGAAAATGTGCAGTGTGCCAATTCCTCTCACTGTAATTTTACCTGCTGACCAGCCCTGGTATTGCTGTTCGGCTGCTTAGTGTTAGGTTCTTTTAGGATATTTGACTTATATTTAATTTTAGTCTGCTTTTTACAATAAGCTAGAGGTGGCTTCATTTCAGAAATTTAGTAGCTGTTTGATTTTTTTTTGAAGTTGAGTGTTAAGTTTCTTATTTTATCTCACATATGTTTTAATTTTTTTTAACAGAAAAAGAGCATAGAAATAACACATGCAATTACATCTGTAATTCTTGCTTCTATATCTGTAATAAATGAACATGAGAACTACGGGGCCCTCCTGGAGTGTGCTGTTATATTAAATGGTAAGTGGCATGTTCATTAGCGGGCACTAACCTGACACCTTATAAGAAGTGACCTATTTTCACGAGCAGTGTGGCAATCTGAAACAAAACTTTAAAGGTATGTCTCCGCACTCAAGTTCTCTTCTGTCAGGGCCCCCTGAGGAATTGAGTTCGCTCCGCTGACGTGGGTTCTGAGTTGCTGACTACTGCTACTTACAGGTTCTTCAGGACAGTGCCTGGACCCACAGGAACTAACGATAATACGTGCTTTTGAAGGTCATGTCTGACTGCAGATTTCTCAGTTTGTGCCATGGCCACAGAGCCCAGGAATCTGTTGTTGAATTTTTTTCTTAGTGGGTGACTGTTATCTCTGGAGTCATTGTTGATTCTCATAGTCAGTTCTTGTTAACTTTTAACTGCCTGTAAAGCTGTGATTATTAAACGGGTACACTAGTCTGACTTAATGAAAAACCTGGTTATAAAATATTTACACAAAGTTGTGGTGGTATTGTGTTCCCCCAAAATATTGTGCACCCTAATAAATTTATCTGGGGTCAGAGACAGAACAGCCACTAGATACAAAGGCTAGAAAATGGTGGCACTCACACCTTTAATCCTAGCACTCCAGAGGTAGAAATCCCTCTGCATCTCTGTGAGTTCAAGGCCACATTGGAAACGGCCAAGCATGGTGACTCACGCCTTTATTCCCAGAAAGCCAGCCTTTAATCCCAGGGAGTGGTGGTAGAAAGCAGAAAGATATATAAGGTGTGAGGACCAGAAACTAGAAGCTTTTAGCTGGTTAAGCATTTGGCTGGTTAAGCTTTCAGGCTTCTAGCACAGTTCAGCTGAGACCCATTCTGGATGAGGACTCAGAGGCCTCCAGTCTGAGGAAACAAGACCAGCTGAGGATCCGGCGAGGTGAGGTAGCTGTGGCTTGTTCTGGTTCTCTGATCTTCCAGTTCACCCCAATACCTGGCCTCAGGTTTGATTTTGTTAATAAGACTCTTTAAGGTTCCTGCTACACAAAGTTATTTCATAAACATAACAGCAGTTTTAAGGATTACAAAGAACTGTCTTTGGAGTGCTTTGTTCACTTGGGTATAGTTTCCTGGAACAGAGTTTCTTATCAAAATCAGTCTTAGTGTCATTTGGATATCTTTATATTTTTAGGATGCTGCTTTAGTCTGATTTCTTGAAATTAGCATATTTTTTCATTTTTAATATTTTATATTTTAGTTCAGTTTAGTTTAGTTTTGTCTTGTTTTTTTTCCCTGAGACAGAATTTCTCTATGCAACGGCCCTGGCTGTCCTGGAACTGGCTTTGTAGACCAAGTTGGCCTCAAACTGAACAGAGCTCGGTCTGCCTCTGCCTCCTGAGTGCTGGGATTAAAGGCTTGGGCCACCACCGCCTGGCTTTTAGTATGTTTTTAATCAAAATAGAATTACATCATTTTACTCCCTCCTTCTCCTCCCTCCAGCCCTCTTTCCATGTTACCATCCCAAGTTGATAGTATCTTTTTCTTTGATGATTATCTTGTTACCCCAGTCAGGATAAAAGTTAGTTTTCCAGTGCTTTGTGAATTTTACTACCAGCTTACTTCTAGACTCCAGGTAGCTGGTTAGATGAATACCATCATCGTAGTTGCTGCCAGACTTCCAGTTACTTTAGGAGCTTTATATTTGTATAATGGTATTCAGGCATCTGTGGGTAATTACAAGCACATTATTAACAATTTAATTACTGAGCCTTTCTGTTTCTAAAAGCGATATTTTATATACTGATTGTTATTTGCTTTGACTGTTTTCCACCTTTGTGCCTAAACCTGGGGCCAGCACATTGAGATTGTGGTGGGTTGGTGGTCAGGACCTGTCCTGTGTTGGTGGAGTTGTAGTGATATCAGGATGTATTAGTGTGAGGCTTCCAGGTCTAAAGTTCTCTGTTTTGTTGTACCTTTTTTTTTAATTTTTATTTTTTTGAGACAGGGTTTCTCTGTGTAACAGTCCTGGCTGTTCTGGAACTCTATGTAGACCAAGCTGGCCTTGAACTCATAGCCCTCATAGCCCTCCACCTGCCTCCGCCTCCCAAGTGCTGAGATTAAAGGCGTGTGCCACCACTGCCCAGCTTTTTGTACCTTTTTTTTTTTTTTTTTTTATAACACTTGTTAAGTCTTTTTTAAAAAGTAAGTATTAGAATTCCATAAATGATGTTTGTTTGGCAAATTAAACTAATATTTGTCTAGCAAGGCCTTGGACCAGGTCATAGCACTGCACTATTGAGTCTGAGTCAGTAATAATTTGTTTAATAACAGAAAATCTTTGTGCTGTGTTTTAGGTATTTTGTATGCACTACCTGAATCTGAACAAAAACTCCAGAACTCTATTCAGGATCTGTGTGTCAAATGGTGGGAAAAGGGCCTGCCTGCCAAGGAGGACATGGGAAAGACTGCATTTGTCATGCTGCTAAGGAGAAGTCTGGAGACCAAAACAGTATGTTTGCTTCCTTCAGGAAGTACTTAGTGAGGGCTGGATTAGCTAGGAAGGGGTGGATCTGTAGCTTCCCAGTTTAGAGATGTTTCTTACAAAGGTGTATAGAGGTCAAGAGTGATGCACAATCCATGGTGAGATTTAAGGTTGGGCTTTTCTTGCGTGTTTTCCCCAGGGGTGTGGCTGCTGTCCTCTGTGTCACATGACGGTGAAAGGGTGGTTACTCAAGCTCTGTGTCGTGACACTGTTCTGCAGTGGAAAGAAAGCAGGGTGCAGGAAGGACCAGAGTTTCTTGGACTGAGCTGTGCAGTGCGTTTTCCTGAGTTGTGGAGTGGAGGGTGGGAGGAGATAGCTGTGGCCCTCTGAGAGGTAGACATACCTTAGAGCATGCTGGGCAGGTAGTCAGGAGTGCCCTGGATAAAGGTAGGCATTAGGATTTAGGATTGTGTGGGGATTATTTCACATTATTGCCAAGTCCTAGTTGTGGCTGGGCCAAAGAAGAACAGTTTACAAGGTTGAGGCCAGCCTGGGCTAGGTGAGGCCCTATGAAAAAAAAACAAACAACAGCCCAAAATGTTCTGTAGAACTACACAAAATATTTGCACATCCTAAAATGTTTTTCAGTTGTCACTCTCTCCTACTTTTTTATGATCCTATAATCTTCATTATTTATGATATAAAATATGTACTTAGTTTGAGACACGACTTTATCGTTGATAAAAGAAGAAATGCCTGGAAACAAGTCCTCCACTGTCCTCTCCTGTGTCCTCTCAGGTCGCAGATGTATGTCGGTTGTGGCACATCCATCAGGCTTTATACTGCTTTGCTTATGATTTGGAGGAAAACAGAGACATTAAAGACATGTTGCTCGAGTGCTTCATAAATGTTAACTATATCAAGAAAGAGGAGGTAAGTGAGCAGTGTTTTTTCTTTTTGGCTTGTTGATGGGCTGTTAATGGATTATTTTCTCAAGTTCATAGGGTTGCTGTTTATGATGGGCTGTTTTGTGGAAAAGCCAGCATAGCTTTTAAGAGCTGTGTATGAAACTGGGCATGGTGGTGCACACCTTTAATCCCAGCACTTGGGAGACAGAGGCAGCAGATCTCTGAGAGATCAAGGCCAGCCTGGTCTACAGAGTGAGTTCCAGGACAGCCACAACCAGGGCTGTTACACAGAGAGAAACCCTGTTTTAAAAGCCGCTCCGCAAAAGAAAAAAAAAAAAAATAGAGCTGTGGACTTAATCCACATCAGTTGGACTGGGTAGCCTGATGGATCACATACTTCCTCTCCCTGGCTTATTTCTATCCTTAAATTGGGTGGGAACCGGTGGGTTGTAGAGTACTGGAGGAGCCACAGTTGCATTTTAAATTAAGAGTGAGTGTTTATACATATGTATATTATATATACACCTGCGCCGGGCGTTGGTGGCGCACACCTTTAATCCCAGTGCTCAGGAGGCAGAGGCAGGCGGATCTCTGAGTTGGAGGCCAGCCTGGGCTACAGAGTGAGTTCCAGGAAAGGTGCAAAGCTACCCAGAGAAACCCTGTCTCGAAAAACCAATATATATATATATATATATACCTCTCATGGTGAAAAACTGGTTACTTGTTGGAGACTGCCCTGGGGCCAGACTTTCTACACAAACACATACACATATGTAAGTGTGAGAAAGCATATCCCTGTGGTTGAGATCTCTCTTTCCTACTTCTACAGGTTATTTTTTGTAGGAGAAGTTGTCTTAGAGTTTCTGTTGCTGTGATAAAGTACTACATCCAAAAGCAACTTGAGGAGGAAAGGGTTTATTTCATCTTAAAACTCTCCAGTCACAGTACATCACTGAAGGAAGTCAGGGCAGAAACTCAAAGCAGGAATCTAGAGGCAGGAACTAAAGCAGAGACCAGAGCGGGACACTGCTTACTGGATTGCTTCCCATGGTTTGCTCAGCCTTCATTCATTTTTGTTGTTGTTGTTTTGTTTTTTATTTTTTGAGACAGGGTTTCTAAACTATTATGTAGTCCTGGCTGTCTAGGCATTAAGCATAGGTTATTGTTATTTTAATATTGTTGCTTGAAATGTCTTCTTTCTTTTTTAAGAGACAGGATCTCACTACATGGCCCTGGCTAGCCTGGAACCCTCTGTGTAGATCAACCTAGCCTCAAACTCACAGAGATCCTCCTGCCTCTGCCTCCTAAGTGCTGGAATTAAACTTGTGTACCACCAAGCCCTTCTCAGCCGGCTTGCTTGCTTTTGTTTTGGTTTTTCAAGACAGGGTTTCTCTGAGAGCCCTGGCTGTCCTGGATCTCACTCTGTAGACCAGGCTGGCCTCAAACTCACAGAGATCTGCCAGCCTCGGCCTTCTCAGCCTGCTTTCTTAAACCACCCAGGACCATATGTCTGTGAGTAGTACCACCCACAATGGCCTGGTCCCTCGCACATCATTTGTTAAGAAAATGCCCCCTGGCTTACCTGCAGGCCAGTCTTATGGAGGAATTCTTTTAAGTGAGGTTCCTTCCTCTCAGTTGACTCTAGCTTGTGTCAAGTTGACCAAACAGTATGCAGAATGCAGTATGCAGAATGCAGGTGGGGAGGGTGTACGCGTTTCTTGAATTGAAACCAGAGCCTCATGCATGCTAGGTAAGTGCTCTACTACTGAGCCTTCCCCTGGCTACACAATCGTGTTTAATTGGCATATACACAAAAATTGCCATCACACAGTTGTCTCTGTTTCTTTTTCTACCATTTAGGAAATCTAATGAGGGGCTTCTGGCCTGTTGTTGTGTTGCCCTTCGTGGGCCAATCCCATAAGTGAACTGAGCAAGTTCACTGCAAATGGCCAGTTCCAGTTGAGATGTGCTTTAAGTGGAAAGTGCACATGGACTAGAGAACTTAACATGAAAAAAAAGGAATGTGTATTAATGATTTTTATATTATACTCATTGTAAATGATATTTTATAAATACTTTTATGTATGAAATATTTTTAAAGCTGGGGCTATAGCTAAGTGGTAGAGATCTTACCTAGCATACATGAGGCCCTAGATTCAATTCTCAGTCCTGCCAAATTAAAAAACAATGTAAATAAACATAATCTTATTAACGTGATTTCTGGAGAATAGTTCTGTTATGTAAGGTGACTATGTAGTGGTTATTGAGTGTGGACTTGGCCCTTGCTAGGGTGCAAGGTGACCATGAATACAGTGCGTTTGGGTTGCATGTGTCCTAAAGGACCAGTCTGTAGCCATTTTTCCTGAAGCAGTAGAGAAGGCTTCCAAAGAGCATTCCTCAGGGTCTCAGCCCTGAGTAGAAAGTCTGGTCCCATGGCAGTCTCAAGGACCCAGGCTATAGGGCATATGTGATTAGCACCAGTTTCTTTGGCTCCACCAGAACACTCTGTGTCTCTGACCCTGACTGTGGAGGGCAGGTGCTCCTTGAGACTCCCAGGAAGCACGTGGTGTGGCTTGAGGGAAGTGGCAGCAGCACAGTCACTGGTACAGGACGTGTGTGGAGAGGGCTCGTTCCTAGGGTGGTTGTTACGGTAACATCATTGGGAAGATGACAGGCATAAGGGTTGCACCTTCATCTCCAGGGTTGTTAGGAAGTTGGTGAGAATAAAGCTTAAGATGGGGTCAAACAAAGATTTCAGGCTTCTTTGGTTTTGCATTTTCTACTGCCCATGATAGCAGGCTGAAAGGTTTATGGACCCATGTGAAGGTCTGTATGGCTGTCTCTGAGCTCCTTGAAGACAGACGCTCAGTGCAGCTGCTGTTCTACCCAAGGGAGGAATGTCTGTGGCCCCACGGGTCTCTGCTGTTAGGAAGCCACCTGTAGCCCTTCCCAGTTCAGTCCTGTGCAAACATGCCACATGATAGTGACACAGGCCTCTTTTTATGACTAGCTGACTTTGGATGTGCTAAACACTTAACTATTTGTTATTAGATGAGTTTCATTTAGTTGCACCTTTATTTATTTATTTGAGATGATGTCTGTGTTGCTAGGCTGTCCTTGATCTTGTCATACTCTGTCTCAGTCTTCCACATGCCCAGCTTATTCTCATTTTTTTTTTTTTTTCATTTACAGGGAAGAAGATTTCTTAGTTTTCTCTTTAGTTGGAATATTGACTTTATTAAAATGATCCATGAGACCATTAAAAACCAGTTGTCTGGATTACAAAAGTAAGTACTACAGGTTTTACTCTGACTTTGAAAGGTTCTCTTGGCTTATTTTATAAGCTGCGCGTGCGTGCGCACGTGTGCGTGATATGTGTGTATATGTGAATGGTGCATGTTTGTGTAGTGTATGTGTGTGTGTGGTATGTGTGTATGTGTGAATGGTGCATGTGTGTGTGTGTAGTGTATATGTGTGTGTGGTATGTGTGTGTGTGTGCATGGTGTGTGTGTGTGGTATGTGTGAATGGTGCATGTGTGTGTGTGTGTGCGTGTGGTATGTGTGTATGTGTGAATGGTGCATGCGTGTGGTATGTGTGTATGTGTGAGTGGTGCATGTGTGTGTAGTGTGTGTGTATATGTATGGTGTGTGTGCGCACGCGCGTGTGGTATATATGTGTGAATGGTGCATGTGTGTGTAGTGTGTGTGTATGGTGTGTGTGTGTGCGCGCGTGTGGTATGTGTGAATGGTGCATGTGTGTGTAGTGT